GAGCCGCAGGTTGAAGCAGGTAGCGACAGCGCAAAGTTCCCTACAAAATACTGGGTAGGGCTGCAGGATCGATACCCCAATCTTAGCAAGCTTGCGCTTGACGTACTCTCAATACCGGCTTCAAGTTGTGAGTGCGAGCGAGTTTTCAGCGAGCTAGGCGACCTGTTAGAGCCTCGGAGACGGAAGATCTCTCCGGAGCTTTTGGCAGCGATACACTGCAGTAGAAGGTGGAGAAAAGCTGGGTTTGGCAGCAGCGAGGTCGACGAGAAGGAGCAGCTTACGGTTGAACAGCTCATCTCAAAGTACCATGTGGACACATGGGACGAAGGTTGAAACACCAAGCTTTCTATACAATTTGCCTAATTAGGAAACAAGCTCCTCAAGCCCATCCAGCCAGCCGAGCGCCCGTAGCCAATCAAGCCATCCAGCCGGTTCTACGACCCACAAAACACCAAGCCATCCAGCCTATAGCCAGAAAGCTGGCTGGCTGGATTGTTGCCATCTGTGCAGGCGAGACATGTCTTCTTAGCATGGGCTATGGTTCGACTCTGGAAAGGACTTACCGCACTGCAAAAAGAGTGCAAGGACATTGAGAGGTTTCCACGAGATCGCCAAGGACCATGGGATTCAAGTCGGATGTGAGCTTCAGGCTATCAACATTGGTCTCCAGATTGGCGTTGGCCCCGGGCCTCTGCGCCAAGGCTCTTCAACGCAGGTAAGGGAAGTAGATTACAGCATACTTAGGACTACGCTGAGAAGAAAGGGAAGGTGAGTTGGTTGAATGCGTGGAGGTGGAGGGCAAGACTGGTCCATACAAATGCAGATGCCGCATCGAACAAATTACGGCCGCTTCAAAGCTATTATTTTCATAGGCGCGAAGCCCAGCGTAGATGAAGCTGAGAGATCCTTTGGCGTCCTGCCGCACGGAAATGCTGTTTCATTAGCACGAACCACGCTGACCGCGCAGTAGACATGGTTGATGTCGCGATAAAGTAGCCAAATGTCTTTGCGTCTTTAGCTTAGAGCGCACGCGCGAAGACGGTTTCGAGGCGTTTTGCCTCGTAGGCCTTCCTGATCTTCCTAACGACATGACCAGTATTGCAAGAAACACCCCGTGTTGCTCGTGCCTATGTGATCAACCGATATAGCGGGCACTGTTGTGGAGTGCCGCGGGCAAGAGTTCCAAGGCTACCTTTGAAGCTCGAAGATAATGTTTCAAATATTTAATTCCCCTTTTGGCTGGGCGGTGAAGAGCGGCAGTACTCGTCCCAGAGGTCTGAACCTCCTGGGCACATCGTGAGCAGTATTTGCGAATCAGTTAGTACGCACGGTTCCTATACGTAGTATGTAAATTGTCTTGCGCCTCGCGATAGCTAATATAAGGCGACGGCGGCATCTTCCTGCTGTGTGGGTACCTTGTTTTGAAGCCAACCTTCACAGCCGAGGATAGAAGACCAGCCTCAAGAATAGCACGTCACGTATTAAAAAGGCGGGGTAAATGAACTAGGCAAGATGGTGTCGGGTACCGGGGAAGTGATATATGGGAACTTTCTAATATGTTAACTAGGGATGGCTTCGTACCTGCTTAATTATATTAGTACATATAAGCCCAGCGTCCTGGATCATTCCACTTGTCGTGAAATACTTTCAGCGTGCTGTATTGTGATGACCGTTTCGAGGTGCACTCGAGTGCCCCTCACTACTGCCCCACTACCCCTCTAGCGTGGAATTTTTTCGCCCACAGAGTTGATAGGAGGTAGCGACTCTGGAAAGCAAGTAATCTCTCGACAACATTGAAAAGGCAGCCGGTTTTGCTGTTTATATATAATTTTAAATAATAAAATCTTTCATCTGAAAAGTGACTTTATACCGTCGAGTCTCGGGGATGTTGGCGCAATGGTAGCGCGTTGGTTTTCGGTCTACCTGGAATACACCAAAGGTTGCAGGTTCGAGCCCTGTGCATCTCGAACGACTTGAAATTTAAATTTTTCTAAATTTATTTTACCCAATTTTACCCAATTTTAGACGGTCACAGATTTTCCCTTTCTATTGGCCTCTCAACTCTAGCCACAAGCCTTAAGCTCATATAAGCTCGGCTAGGTAGTTTCCGGACACCCGGGGTTTCCGGACACACCGAAAGCAGCAGCCCTACCCACCAAAAGTTGACATATCTCGATTAACATGTTTTATAAGCGAGCGGCCCATACAAGCGAGCGGCCCACCCCACCAACTTTTTGCAGCACATAAACTTCTACCTACTATGGCGCCCCCAATTCAGGCCTAACTAGCCTCTGCTGAGGCTAATATACACCTTACAATCTTAGCTATTAATTAAAACTAAATTTAGTCTATAAGAGGTGCAGCACACATATTTACTATCTCTTAAATAACGCTTTAACGCTAACGCGCTAGAATTGCTACGCGACGTAATTACTAGCCTAAATTAAAAAAGCTTATTAAGATAGAAGAGAAGGTAATTGTTAGGTATATACTTAACCTAGATTCGCGAGGATTTCCGCCCACGCTAAGTGCTATGCAAGATATAGCAGATAAGCTACTCGCTAAGCGAGGCGCTAGACAGGTTAGCAAGTAGTAGCCGCGCAACTTTATTAAGCAAATAGATTATTTTACTATATAATTTAATTAACTATATAATTAGCAAAAAGCTCTATATAAGGATCTAGATGCTATTAGAGCTTAGTTTAAGCTTGTAGCGCGCATAAAGGCTACCTATAGTATCTATAATAAGGATACCTATAACTTTAACAAGATTAGTTTTATAATAGGCAAGATATTATCTTAGCTTATTATTATAAGCTTAGAGAGATGCGGCAGGCTAAAGGCTATCTAGCTAGGTAATCGTAGGTGGGCTATAGTAATCTATAGAATTAGCGCTACTAGCTAGGCAATCCCGCCCTTTATTATCTTCGCTAGCTAGTATTACCTCTCTACCTAGTACTAGGACAATAATATACCGCGCGACTAGGCTTTCGCTATTAGTAATAATAGCTAGACTACTAATAAGCTTAGAGTAGAGTAGCTAAGGCACTTTATTAAGTATATAGTAAAGTATAGGGTAGGCGCGCGCTAGCTACTTATACTTAATAGCTATAAAAGCTATAACTTGCTCGAATTTTAAGAGCTCTATAAGGAGAATAATATCTATACTCTCTATATACCGCTATATTTATTATACCTTCTATAGCTACTTAATATTAGCTACTTTTCGCTGTTAAAGCGCGTGTATAGTCGCTAGATTAAGAGCCTAATGCGCGACTACATTAACTATATTATAAAGCTAGAGTTCCTACTAGTCTTTTACGTAGCCTATAAGTAGTTAATTATAAAGGAAAATATCTGCGCAAGCTTTTAAGGCGCTAGCCTAGTCCTACATAACCTAGAGGTAGTAATATTAAAGCTTAATGTTAAGCTTTATACGCTAACGCCGCCTCTACTAAAGATTACCTTTTAAAAAGCTAAAACACTAAGTAACGCGCGCGAGCTAGAGGCTTAATTAATATTAATTTATAATAGGATTTAAAGGCATAAGAGCTTATTACCTACTTTTATTATTATAGCGCTTAATTAGCTTAAAAAGGGCGCTAAGGTAATAGCTTATAAAAGTACGCTTATGCGCGATTAGATCGCGAGGCTTAAGAAAGCTAATAAGGCTGCTATAACGCGTAAATAGCGCAAAAAGAAGCGGATCTAGAGGTAGGGTACCTTAATAAAGGCAGAAGTAGAGAAGATTATCGCTTAAAAGGATGTTAAGCAGCAGATAGAGGTAGAAATACGTTAAGATAAGGCGCGATTAGGTGCTAATTAGCAGGCTTTAACACGCTGCAGCCGCTACAAGAAGACTGGCTATAATATATAAACATGCAAGAACGATATTATAGATACTATTTAATCTAGTATAGCAATTATATACTATTATCTTATTGTGTTGTTAAGATAGGTTGCTGTAAAGGTATAAAAAGTTGGTGGGATGGGCCGCTCGCTTGTATGGGCCGCTCGCTTGTATGGGCCGCTCGCTTATAAAACACGTTACTTGCTTTTTAAAATAATATCTAGGTCTTATAGGTTAAGCTTTTAAGCTTTTAAAGCTACTACTAAGCTTAATAAATATCCTGCGGTTTCTAGGGCGTCCTAAGAAGACTTTTAATTAGTAACTAAGGTTATTTCTTAGATAGAGTTATAATAGGCTTAGTCTAAACCTGTAATAAGTTAATAACTTTATTAATATTAAATAGATAAAGACTAGTTGCCTTTTAGCTAGCCTAAATTACTTTCTTTATTAAGTCCTCTTATCTTATATTATAGTAGTATTAGATAAAGCGCTCCCTCTTAACTAGTACTATATTATTAAGGCTTACTAGAGTCTTAATTTGCTTTTAGTACTTGCACTTAACAACGGAGAATAAAGCAAGATCTAGGAGTTATAAGATATATAAAGAATAAGTAGATAAGAAGAGTAACTTAATATTATTTTACTTATAAGTTTATAGGAAGTTAATATTAATATAACTTTTATAACTATTAAATATTAGTAGCTATAGCTAACCCGCAGATATAGCAATTTCGGGAAGAAATACTTAATATAGCTATTTAAGGCTAATAGTATTAAATATCTATCTATTCTCTAAGGTTATATAGAGCTAATTAGGGATATTTTTGGCTAAATACTAGCTTATCTATAAATATTATTTTTTAAAAATAACAACGGGGCGTATCTTGTAACTAGTAGCTAAAATATACTTAATTATTAATATTTAGTGCCTATTTTTTAAAGACTTAATATAAGTTTTCTTCTTTAATAAGCTAGCAAGCACCTAGCTATTAGAATATACGCCTAAAGTAACCTTAGTCTTATTTATATTCTATATATTATTATAGCTAATACTAAGTTATATTTTAGTAGCCTTAAATATTTTTAGGAACTACCACATCTCTTTTAGTATAGTAGTATTAAACCTAGGAGCCTTAATTTTCTTACTAATTATAAATATAACGCGTAAGTTCTATTAAATAAATTATAAAATCTAGGCCTTGCTAAGAGAGTTATAGTTACTATTTATTTATAAAATTTAACTTACTATATCTTATACTTAATTATATATAGGGGGGAAACCTCGCGCGTCTTTTTTAAGTATCTAATTAATAAGAAATTCTTCTTACAGGGGAGTTAATTACTACTAATATTAATAGCTAGTTACGCTGTTAGTCGCGCCCTTTATTTAGTTATAAAGAGTACTTTTTAGAATACTATACGCATTAGCAGCGTCTTAAACGCTACTATACATGCCTATATAGTAATTACTAATAGCCTAGCTAATTACCTCCTCACGAGGATTTATTATAATTTATAGTGTAGAAAAGTAATACGGTGAATGAAGCTATAACGCGTGATTGTTAGGGTGTCCGGAAACCCCGGGTGTCCGGAAACTACCTAGCCGAGCTTACATGCCTGACCAATTAAGCATATATTAATTGATCTGTTGGTCATATTAAAGATAGCTTTTGATCGGTAGCAGTATACCCCCTCCCCCGATCTTTTTTAAACATGCCTTGCCCGCAGACTGTGTGACGCCTAGAAAGGAAATACATTCCCGTGTGCGTCTCTTCCCCATCAGTACACACGAGTACCAAAGCCCTTTCTTGCGAATTTAGTACTGGCACTGAATGTCCGAAAGGGTATTACATGTCAACCTTGCTCAGTGGACTACTCGCTTTCTACGCTGGTCTCCACCGGGCGGAGCGTGCGGTCCCCAGACTTGTGAATGCGAGATGCCTTCGTATCCATGCTAGCAAGATACAAGCTTTCGCCTTGGGAGAGGATACATTCGGCGCTCCCGCGGCTCGTACCATATGAGGTTCTGACCGGGATGACTTCGCGATGCTGGATCTCAGTACTCAGTCTGTGACCCCTATGGGTCTGGAATTCATATAATTGTTCGTCGCGACCCCTCTTTCTATTGGAAGACATCGAATCGTACTCGATAGGCAGCGAACCAATAGTCGATACGATTCCGGAAGGACGTAGAGACCGGACGCGCATGGAAAAGTGCTTCACAAGTGGCCTCAGTGTGGTCATGCAAGCAGATATAATGCCTGCGCCTGCTTCGATCGTAGACCAAACTGATATGTTTGTGGCATTCCCTAGGATGCGCACTCAGCATCTCAACCGACAAATGGGCAGCTAACTCACAGAAAAAGTCTTCGATCTGCGTCAGTCCGTCGACGTAGCGGAATCGTATAGCAGAGCACACACAGCCACTATAACATCAGAGCGGGTTCCTCAAGCCAATGGACAGCTTACAGTGCAGCCAACGATAATATGAAGCCTACCGAGAACTTCGACCTTCGACTCATATTGGTATTCCACAGCACCGGTATAGGAAGCAATACGAACACGCAGTCCGTAAAAAAAGCGAATGCTGCGTGCTGGTATGCGAAAAAGCGATCTAATCCCCTCGGTGTGCACAGGTTACCCATCTGCCGGAGAACATATAGATCGAGGTTTGCGCCGCATCTGAAGAGGCAGTAGAAGAACGCTGCGGTAGCCGATACGCAACTGATGGTGACCGTGGCATATATGACAGTGAAATGCCAGCGCTTGACCACTATGCGAGCGAAGAAAATTGCAACAGAGATCTTCAGCATCATCACCGTGGCAATGTAGCTTGCTTGGCTGGCAACAGCCCGCTGCTTTCGATTAGCTTCAACTTAGACAGAAGAGCCGGCGTCTACCTTTGTAAGATTGTGCAGTTGAGTGAGATCCGTGACATGGGTACCACCGCCATTTCTTTCAATGTAGAAGATGCAGGCGCAATATGATGTAAAGATGAACCCTGCAAAGATGATGGTGCCGTCATCCCAGCCAAAGTTCGGGTTGATATAGCCTCGTGTCCATGTTCGCAACGCGATGAAGATCCACGACAAAGCAAGATGGGCAATGGCTACGTTT